TCTCGCTGCTACAACCTTTATCGCGATTACGCGACTTTAATGTCGATTCTCTCTTTTCAGAGGTGCGCCGGTCCTGCGTACACCTGATCGGTCGTCGACCCCGAGGATCCCCTCTTAAGATTCTGGTGGATCCACGATCTTCTCTTCGGCAACGATGCCACTCACGAAAAATATTCCGCGGATATCTTCCAACTGTGATCCGACAAACTGCCTGGAAAAACGACGGCACAATAAGTAAGTAAATGTTGCGCGTTATCTTTTTGACGACACACAGCCGCAAATGAAATGGAAATATCCGTTTGCGTTCCTTCTCGGTGATAGTATTCAAGTCTCTTATTTTTATCTGTTACTTTTTTTGCGCGACAAGAATGAAAAAAACAAGCGTGAATTTTAACAAAAGACCAAATATAAAAGTTACATTATAATCATGCATTACATGAGATAAATATATAATTAAATATTTTGAGAAAGAAATTTCTCTTCTCTTGAATCAAGAGATTCACGTTTGGGATTTTTAATTATCTTTCTGGCACAAAAAAATTTGCAGATTTTAATTGCTGAACGAGTAAGTTGTATTATAACGCATGATAAACATACCGAGAAATATTTTTATATTAGATGCATCAATGATAAATGATTAACGAGTTAGAAGCGACACAAACAGAAAAAGACATAACAAACGTACACTAGTCGACGGTAACACTAGTTAAAAGAAACTGAAACCTATGGAAAACACCTACGACACTTGCCTTCCTTGGACGATTACGGATCGCTCGTATTGCACATACCTACGCGTATACCGTGTGTCTCTTATCTCCCCTCTTCTTAGTTGTTATGTAGCATCAAGGTTTTATAGGCCTTGTGCATCAGTTTATATCCAAGCTATATTCCGATCGAATGACGTCGTTCTATAATACTTCACCCAGATTCCATTTAAAAACTAGAACGAAAAAAAGTTATTTTACCACAAAAATAAATTTCGTAAATTGTAAATTGATGAAAGGACGATACTTCATATGTATTCGGATATAACAATCGTACATTTTTATCACGAAAAAAATTCAGAAAATTTTTAAAATTGTATATTTTTATTGTATTTTTTGATTAGGTAATTTCTTTAATAATTTTTTTATTGAGTGCTAATGTTAAAAAATTTTTGAAATATTTATTGCCATATAAAAAACAATTCATATATAAAAAATCAGAAGATTTTCTTTCGGCGGATACGGATTCAGCACTCTAAAAAGGATTAAATCGGACAGTTCGATCGATTCAAACGACGGAGATAATGAAACACCGCCAATAACGAACGCGATGATTGACAAGGTTCTCTTGCGCAAAAACTCCTGTCAATCAATACGAAATGTAAACCGTTGACTTCTTTCATTGACATACACACACATATACACACACACACACATATATATATACATATACACACACTCGATACTGCGCTACGGCTATACATAATAAAGTGGCAATAGCGTAGACGTTCCTTTTTATCTCGAAACAGTAAAATTACGACGCACCTCGGCAGTTAGTCTCCTTGACCCTGTATAAGCAAAGGAACAATTCTTTTTGCTGCAAGATAAAGATTTTCTTGGACGTTCTGAGATACAAGCCTTCAGCTTCGAAATGCATATCGAGATCGTCGCGAATATCTCTGAAGATAAATTTCAGCAACTGATGATTACGCTATGTTGTTCAAACAGAGATAAGTATCATTTCTCATCGTAGAGAGAGATTCTATTATATCTTCCATAGAGAGAATAAAAAATTTATAATTACGTATTACTACCATTAAATCCAACATGTAGAGAAATCTATATTTGTGCCAATCGTGACACAATTATTGCGTTAATTTCCCACGTTATAGAAAAATTTGCATTCTAGAATTCACAAATAGGCAGAATCTATATCTCGAAATTTATCATCAAAGATGTAATATAAAAAGCTTACATTTTTAATATATTTATTTCTTTTAATTCTTAATTATAATCATATTCTTAAGTATAATATCAAAGTCATATTTTTCATCAAGTTTCTTTTATCCATTTTATTTTCAGATAAAATGCATTTTATATACTAATGATATATTACTTAGTAACTGCTTTACTAATGGTAAAATTAACTACAGCAAATGTATCAAACTGGAAATATTCGAATAACCTTGCAGGCATAATTTTTCATCCATTAACATCAAGGTACAAAACAAATTCCATTAGCATTACCGGTTAAGTATCGGTTAAATATCTATAATAGCACCGTCTTCTTCCGAATTAATGACGGATTTCTTGGTATTCGCACTCCGTTGACAGGTGCTAAGGCCGTTTGTCTACAGGTCAAATTTTGCCAAGTAATATATTCGAAACTTTCCCATTCTCGTCTAGAATTGTACTCTCGAGACTGTCAAACTAGTACAACCACCTTGAAGTGGTATTATCCAGCCGTGCTTGACCTACCTATCTACACTCGGATACTGGGGGATTCTATAGCCTCTGCCTCGTGTCTCTCTCTCTCATCGAGCTATTACTCATTGTTTTCCACGATAAAATTTTATAGTCGCGCATAATCGTAAATCGTTATTTTATTGCTATGAAAAATCCAAGGCATTGCATTGCGTATTCCCGGGAATGATATCGAATTATGGCATCGTCAGAATTAAAGGACACTTCACGCGAATCATTAGCGCGCTCAATAAATAACCGTCACTGCGATCTTCAGAGTCCGGTTTTCGTTTGCGTTCGCGTATGTGAATTGCCATGATTATGCGAATAAAACTCATATATGCCGTGCTTAGAATCTTCGGAGAAAATGAAGGTTTGAACGTGTCTGACAATCCATCAAACAATTCGGTAAAATTTTAATGTTCCGGTATCAACTGTAACGAAAAAGAACTGTTTAATATTCATGATGAATTTTAATGAGATTAAATTTATTAGCCTTTTGATATTTAAATTGAGCATTACTAGTATATTTTTTTCGTAGTTCCGTATTCACTGATAGTATGGAGTTCGGACATTCTATCATTTTTTTCACACACAGGATCGTATAAGGTATCTTGTATAATTTTTATTTTACATAAACTTTCAATTTTTATTTATTCCTTTGCTGTGTGTGTTTGCCCAAAATTAAAGGTATATTCTCTTATAATTAAAAGGAGTCTACGAATTAATAAGTACTCGATATACATTTATTTACATTCTTATGAGGTAATATAATTGCATTCTTTCGAGTATAAATTAAGCTTCTTATTTTTAGGCGGGAAAGATTTAGTATAAATTATAGCGCGTGAAATATTAATAAAATTAGCAAGATAATTTATTCTCTGATGCAGCTATTAATAATATTCTGTAACTTAGATCCTCTTCAAAAATAATATATCATTCAGGTCAATTACCATCCTCCATGATGGCGAGTAAATCGCGCAACAGCCATCACCATTCCGGTTGGATAACCGCGAAAATTGCGCGTCCCGGTTTTCGCAGTTTTTAACGTTCGCGTAGATGACTGGCCAGATTAACCTGCGGTATCAACGGCATCTAAGCGATCCGTCAGCCCGTAGCGAGAGGTGCCCGCGGGTACATCTCGCTTTCACCCGGCTGGTCTCTTGCCACGTGCATGGAAGTGCACGTACGTCCAGTCGATGCACCGATCTGACGCGTTCAAGAAGAAGGTGGACACGGGCCAACGCGTTTCGCATCCGCGGCTCTGGTGGCGGTTGGTAATCCGCGAGATAGTGTCTCGTTGAATTCGATATCACTTATTCTTGTGATCGAGACCCCCTGGTGTTTCGGCTGTCTCTCGAGCTTGATACCCAAGAGCCAATCTACCTCGTCCTCGTCGTGACTCGCCGATGACGTAACGCATAAATACACGCCACGGGAGAATCGAACCGGTGGCTTCTACCACTTCTTCTTCGTCTTCCTCTTCTTCTCCTCCGAGGAAGGCAGTCTTCGAAGA